TATATATATATATATATATATATATATATATACATATGGAGAGCTTGGAAGCCAATCAATGTAAGTCACTTCCCATCAAAAACAACTTGGGCATTTTTTCTGTCGTTAATATTGTTACTAAAAAGTCATAACATGATCATTATATTGATACACTATAATTATCCATCCAATTTTTGGATGGTTTTGAAAAGTATGTTTGTACAGTATAGGTCATTTTTAATGGCAAATGACTTACACTGATTGGTTTCCGAGCCTGCTATATGTATATGTATATTGTTTTAAAGATCAGAGAAAGACGAAATTGAAAAAAACGCAATCGCGCAAATTATTTTTAATAGTAGTTGGTACGTTGCTATCAAATTAACAGAGATTGGAATATTAGAAGAGGAAAGATGTTGTTTGTCGATTATACATGTATATATCTTCTCATATATTGTTTTAAAGATTAGTGGAAAACAAAATTGGAAAAACGCAGCTTGAAAAATGTTAGAAAAGTTAGAAATAGGATGATACTGTTTCTAGAATATGTATCTTTTTATTTATTATCTTGAAGATCAGAGGAAGACATCTCAAGTAAGAAAATAAATATAACGAGTGTCTTTTACTTTATGAGACTTCTTTACTGTTAGGTTGAGAGGATGTTATGTAAGAAGCTTAGCTTTAACTAAGCTTTCCGCTTAGTTTTTTGAAATCAGAGTAAGAGGCATTTTGCTTTTGTAGCTCGACAAAGGAGCAAGAGTTTCTTTTTTTTTTTTTTTTTTAATAAGCTGCAAAAAACAACGATGATATTCCTCTGAATAATGTAAACTCGAGAAGAAGAAGGGTTATGTATCTGTCTGCTTATTGGCAATGAATATTATAAACATACGTTGAACACAGGGAAGGATTGATTAATTCTAATTGTGATTAATAAATTTCTTTATAGATCACTCAAGTCACAATGATAAACACGATTTTATCGATACACTGACCGAAACACATCAAATTGATTAGATGACAATTGTTTTTGGTAAAAGATCAGGCATACACGAGAAACGAAAAGAAAATGAAAAAGGAAAGTATATTCAGAATTCTTACCTCCTATTGGGATGAAATAGGTACTAGGTTCTAAGGGGTTCCTTTTCTCCATGGTTACGATGAAATGTCTCTCTAGGTTGAGAATTTCAACCGGACAATGTCGACATTT